GCTTTGCCATTTTAAAAATGATGTGTCTGGCAGTAGACCTTTATGGGTACATCTTGTTTGGGATTCTCTAAGCTTCACTTGTGTGTCTTTTTGTCTCACCAGATTAGGGTGAGACAAAAATAATGACCAGATTTGGTCATTATTTCTTCAAATAGATTTTCAATCCCTTGCTCACTCTCTTCTCCTTCTGGGATTCCCATGATGTGGATATTGTTATGCTTCATGTTGTCCAAAATGTTTCTTAAGCTTTCCTCATTTTTTAAAATTCTTTTTTCTCTTTGCTGTTCTGCTTCGGTGTTTTGTTGTTTTTTTTTCCTACCTTGCCTTCCAAATCATGGATTCAATGCTTTACTTCATCTAATCTACTGTTTATTCCTCCCAGTGTATTATTTATTTCAGATTTTGCATTCTTTATTTGTGACTGCTCCTTTTTATAGTTTCTATATCTTTTTTCATTCTGTTGAGTATCATTACAAGCATTACTCTACACTCTCTATCTGATAAATTGTTTGCCACCATTTTATCTAGTTCTTTTTCAGGTGAATTCTCATTTGAAGCCTGTTTCTTTGTCTTCCCATTTTGTCTGCCTCTTTGTGTTTGTTTCTAAATGTTAGGTAGATCTGCAAAGACTCTGGAGTAGGCCTTTGTCACATGCTACTTGTGCCTGGACCTGGTCAACCTGTTTGGAGCTATCAGTTAACCACTGTGTGTGGATCCCTCTGCTGGGCCTGGGTGTGTGCAAAAAGAACCAGGCTACACACCAAGGCCAGCTTTTACTAGCATCAGGACTAGGGGAGGGTCATCTACTACCACAGAGCTCCCAAATATCTGCCTTAGTTGCTAATCAGTGATATAGCCTCAAGATGTGCTAAGTGGAGCCAGACTTAAGCTCCACAGTTTAGGGAAGAGTGATTCTTGTGGGTGGGGCAATTGCTTCCCCTCAGGATAATGCCACTTTGAGAGGAATGCTCTGCCTGAGAAGGATGGCTTTTGCAGCCTGGGGGATGCCTCAGCACAGGGATCCTGGTAGCTGTTCCTTCAGTTCTCTCTCCAGAGCCACCAGCCACAGACTCGCCTCAAGTGTCTCTAGTTCACTCTGTCTTCCCTCTGCCACAGCCAAGACTAAGTAGCTGCAAGTGTAATTTTGTGCATTGGCCCTTTAAGAGGCTCTCGTCTTCTCTAGCCATTTCTCCCTGGCAGACAGAAACACTGTTGCTTTTCACAGCTGGGTGTTTTCTGGGTTCCTTTCCTGGCTCTGGTGCTGGAGGCTGGGTAGCCCAGCCTGGGTTTAGACTCAACACTTCACAGTGGAACCACCCCAGCTGCTGAAATATCCCTCCAGCACTTCAGCTGTCACCTGTGGGAGTCCAGACAGTCCTCTCGTGCTTCCTTAGCACTCTCTACCAGTCACGTTGTGATGATGTGGCTTCTTCCGTCTGTCCGTGGTTATAATAAGGCTTCTCTCCAGCTACTGTTCAGTTGGTTATTCAGGATGATTTCTCTATGATTTTTTTTGTTGTTGTTGTTATTCCAGATCGGTCTCCAGAAGGAGGTTGGTATAGTTACCATCTGGGGTCTCCCAGAGGAAAAGTTCTCAATCTTTTACTATTTAGTGTAAAATTAGCTGTAAGTTTTTCATATATGGCCTGTATTATGTTGCAGTATATTCTTTCTATACCCATTTTATTGAGGGTTTTTATATTGAAGGTGTGTTGAATTTTGTCAAATGTTTTTCTGCATCTATTGGGATGATCATATATTTTTTATTATTTTTATTCAACTGTAGTTGACATACAATATTATATTACTTTCAGGTGTACAACACAATAATTTGACATTTATATACCTTATGATGTGATCACATAATAAGTCTTGCAACCATCTGTCACTATGCAAAGTTAATATGATAGTATTGACTGTATTCCCTGTGCTGTACACTACATCACTGTATCTTATTTACTTCATAACTGAAAGTTTTAACCTCTTATTCCCCTTCACATTTTTACCTATTCTCCCACCCTCTTCACGTCTGGCAATCATCAGCTTGTTCTTTGTATCTATGAGTTTCTTTTTGTTTTTGTTTGTGTTTTTTATTTATTTTTAAAAGACTTTATTTACTTATTTTTAAAGAGAGGGGAAGGGAAGGAGAAAGAGAGGGAGAGAAGCATCTATGTGATTGCCTCTCTCGTACCCACCACTGGGGACCTGCAACCCAGGCATATGCCCTGACTGGGAATCAACTAGTGACCCTTTAGTTTGCAGTCCAACACTCAATCCACTGAGCCACACCAAACAACCACTGAGCAACACTCAATCCACTGAGCAACACTCAATCCACTGAGCCACACCAAACAACCAGGCAAGGTTGTGTTTTTTAGACTCCACGTACAAGTGAAATAATATGGTATTGACCTTTTCCTTCTGACTTATTTTACTTAGCATAATGTCCTCAAAGTTCATTCATGATGTCACAAATGGCAAGATTTCATTCTTTTTAATTGCTGAATAATATTCCATTGTATATACATTTACCACACCTGGTTTATCCATTCCTTTACTGATGGACAGCTAGGTTGCTTCCATACCTACTGAATGGAAGAAGACATCTGCCCATTCATGTGAAAGGGACTGTTATTTGTGGGGGAGTGATGTATAAATGAAATCTGAATGGGAGGAGAGTTAGAGAAGGGGATGACTTAGAGCAAGTAAAATGATTGCTGACTGGCCTGAGGACCCAGCTGAGGTTGAAAACTATATTAGATGCACAATATTTTGAGTGCTACTACTTTCTCTCACAGTGGTCAGTATGAAATTAGAGAAATTGGGTGTTTGGAGGGACTCAAAACTGAGATGAAATAGCACAGATGATGTATTTGGAGATCATGGGGATTGGGATGCAGTAAGTGCTAAATAGAATTGCCCTGAGATCCTGGCTGGATAAAAAAAGAAGTGAAGAGAAAATGGAGGGATTGGAGGCACTGAACACCTCAATAAAGTCAAATAGCATATGATATGGGATCCAGCCATTTTTTTAAGATTTGAGTGACAATGGGATATTGGAGTTAAGTTTTTTTAGTAGTGAAATTATGGTCAGTGATGCCAACTGACTGAGGATAGTTGAAGTGTTAAGAAGTTAAAGGACAGGGAGGTAAGACCAATATGTATTGAATGGGTCTTTCATGTGTATATTGTTGAAGTTGCCTAAGATAAGGATAGGACTTAGAATCTCAAGCCTTTTGAGGTGGTCCTTACAGTATGGAGAACAGTGAGGATTATGCCCACATCTATTCACCACTCTCAGCCCCAACCTCTTATTTAGTAGTCAGCACTGGGGAGGAATACACAGGAATCAATAGGATCAGAAGAAAAGCTGATTTCAGGGAAGGCCAGGAAGTCAAGGGAATGTTTTGAAACAATTTACATTCTCATTTGTCATGTGGTTTATTTATTGATTTTTAAACTGTGTGGGAAAAGCACAAGAACACATTTTACTATTTTGGTCCCATATAGTCCTGGAATGTCAATAAAAAGGCCAGTCTCAATCTTAATCCAGATCTCTGAACTCAGGTAAGTCATTATGAACCCTAGTGTGACCATGTGTATAATAAGAGAATTGGAATGGATGAGCTCTACATTTTTCATTGTTTTTAATATCTAGGAGTTCTAAATAAAACTGCCAAGGTATGCTAGAGATACGACAGCTATTCTCTAAAAGTGTATTCTATCTGGAGAGAAAGGACCTATTATGAGGAAACATAAAGCTTGCTTGCTAAAACTGCAAATCCTATAAAAAAATACTGACTGCAGACACCACAGTGCATCTTTGTGTCGTGGAAGAATCCTAAAATTGATGGACCAGTATAATTTAGTGGTGAAGCACTTCAGTTTTGGGGATTAACTGTTTTCCATTAATCAGATTTGAAATGTAGGTTGGTTATATTTGACTTTTTTGCGTCTCATTTTCCTCAATAAGAAAATTAGGATGATAGTATTTTGTAGAGTTATTGTAAATATTAAATAAAATTGTGCATGTGACACTTTTAGCAGTGTCAGATATTTTTTTAAAAACTCCATATACGTTAACTATCATTATAATTATTATAATAATTATAGAAGGAACCAAATGTTACATTTCTGCTGTCTAAAGCTCTATAAACAAGGAAATATCTGAAAGAAAGGTGTGTAAAAATAAATAATACACACTATTCCATTTTATGGAGCCCTTTCCCTAACATGGGAAATTTCCAAGCATGTCATGAAGTCTCGATCTTTCAGGAAAGGTTGGAGGTCCCATCAATCAAACAGCATCATATTCTTCTCTTATCCTTATAAGATTTGTGAGCTCACCTTATCCTTTTCCTTGTGTCTCCAGATGTTTCTAGGTTTTTATTTTTCACCAAACCTGAGGGAATTTCTCAATTGAGGCTACCTAGTGATTTTTCTTTTTATTCCTTCTTTTCCCTTTAGAGTCCTTCTTCATAAGTTTCATTCCCTTCCCCTACTTCTTTCACCCCTCCTTAACTATTTATTCTTCTTTAACACTTCCATTCTCTTTATTCAACTAGTTTTTTTTCCATTTTACAGCCTTTATTCTACATGCCATCCTTTTTATTCTACATCACCCCTCCCCTTTGTTCTAAATCACCCCTTCAGCCCTTTAGTCCACAGCATGCCCTCCTCTTTATTCCATGTCATTCCTTCCTCTTTATCCACATCACCCCTTATTCCACATCTTTCCATCCTTTTCTTCCACAACACCCTCTCCTTTCTTCCAGTTTCTCTATCCCTTACTACCATGTTATCCTTCCCCCTTTATTCCATATCAACCTCTTCTCCTTTATTCCTCTTCCCTACCTCTCCTTCCTCTTCAGTTCCAGCCAAAGCTTCTCAACTCACCAACAAAATTTTAAATTGAAAAACACAGTAGCCATGAATATGCTGCTGTCACAATACAGATGTTTATTAATGATTAAATGCCAGAGAAGTTTTAACAATCACAAATCTTCGAGCTCTGTGGTTGTTACCCAATGTGTGATCAATTTCTGTCCCTCAATACAATACATTCATCATTCTATGGACCTTAGCAGTTGTTATCCCTCAGTATCAGCTATAGTTTTGGATGTCATACATAACCCATATCTGTGTGTTACCAGAGCATGTCCCACAAATTTGTACAATCCTGCATAAGGCAACTATAGAGACAATAGATAAGAACATTTGTAATCAGGTGACTTTTACTACTTGGAAATATATCCATCCCTAACTAGCTGTTTTTGCTGACAACTTGGTGAGAACACCAGCTATCTGTAAAGCAAATCTAGGTAATAAAATTGATTTTTTCCTCTAACTTTTGACCAAAGAAAAGCTAATTACACTTACATTTAAGATCACCCTGTTGGCTTTACTTGAGCAAAACTGCACATATTTTAGGAGTGGCTGTTTCACGAGCCACTGGTCTAAAAAATTTGGGGAAATAAACTATTCTGAGGTTGTGGAGTTGCTGCAGGGACACGGCTATGAGTTGCTGTGACATGGTTTAGCATTGTTTGTTAGTTGTCAGTAAGCTGACCTAACATCCTAGCATGCCTCTTGAGGGCCTTTCCAATGGAGCTCTTGGGAGAAGGGTAGGAAAGTCAGGAAAAACATGCAATCCCCTTTGGGGGAGGGAAAGCACCTCGAGATTTGTGAGCTTCTCTGGGACAGGTATTTATCACAAATGTCACATCAATTAAAGTAAGGGCTGTAATGTTGCAAAGCCAGGACCAGGGGTAAAAGAGAAAGGCAAGGTAGCACCAGGGAGCCTGGGCCTGACACAGAAACACCTGTTTTTACCAGCTGAAGGGACCAAGCATCCCCAGTGAAGGGGCTGGCAGTGTGTTTGGACTTCTCAGCCTGACCCGAGCATCAGGTGGAACTCCTTCTCACCCTCAGATCTTTACCTTCAAGACACACTCTTTAATGTTTCCTGTGACATCCCAGGTCTACCCCCACCCTTTTCCCCTGTCTGGCGCCTTATAGAAGGAAAAACAGCTAAGGAAAGAAGTAGCTGATGCCAGTTTTGGCCTCCTTCTCCCGGGGCACACGGAACAATGGGCGGTCTTGCTCCAGAATGGGGGGGTTACCCGCTCCTTCCTCGTCATCATGGGAACAGGCAGTGCCGGGAGGCACAGCTGGCTCCTCAGAGGAACCTGGAAAATAAGAATAATGTTAACTTCTTACTTTGCACAACACCCAAGGAACTAAGACCTAAGTTTAAGCTTCAAATACAGTGAGTATGAGGCAAGAAGTTAGGGCAGGAATGGTTATCCCCATTAGACTTCTAAGAAAACTGCAGCCCAAGAGTAGAATACATATCTCTAAATCTAAGCCCACTGTTGAAGCAAGGATCTAAAGGAGTAGGGCTTGGTTAGAGAACAGAAAGTGTTAGATTCCCCATGCTTAGAGCAAATAGACAATACCTCTGGGGAGGCAGGGAAGAATGCGGCCTCCTACTAACCACCACCACCCTACAAGCAGACTAACTAATTTTACTAAGCAAATGAGTAATAAAGCTGGAGCCAGGAGCTTACAGCACTTCATGGAGGGGAGAAAGCACGTGTCGATCTTCAGTGACTCTGGGAAGGGCTTGTGGTTCATTACTTGACCAGGCTGAGATTTGTTTTTAAGCAGGGTGGTATCTACAGGAAATGTAACATCTGTATCTTCTTTATGGAACTGGATTGCCTTTGAATTCTGAATTTCATTAGAGTCAAGAAAATTAGGCATTGGTACTGCTTCCACATTCATGATTTCTTCAAGATTGACAGCAGGATCTGGCTGAAGGTCTGGGATTGTACTTAAAATGGAGACATCTTCAGGTTCTGGAATCACACTGGCAACTTCATCTTCTTCAAAGGTGTTGGCTTGGCCTTTCTGAGAATCTGAAATTTCATTGTGAATTTGAGTATCCTTGAACCCTAGAACCACACTGAGAACTGAGCCATCTTCAAGATTGGGCTTTTCTTCAGAGTCTTGGATTCCACTGATATCAGAAGCTTCCTTATGTCCTGGGATTTCTTCAGCATCTGAAGCTTCTTCATTGTTTAGGGCTCCACTCATATCTGAGGATCCTTCCTCATCTTGAATCTCATCTAAATCAGAGACCTCTTCAGGGCTCATTACCACATGGAGAGCTGGGACCTCTTCAAGGTTGGATGCTTCTCCAGAACCTGCAATTCCATTAAACTCTGGAGTTTCTGCATAATCTGGAATTTCTTCAGTACCTGAGGTTTCTTCATCATTTGGAACTCCATCAAGAGCTGGGACCTCTTCAAGATTGAGATCTTCTTCAGAATCTGAGAGTCCATTAACCTCTGGGGATCCTTCATGATTTGGAATTTCATGACCACCAGGGACTTCTTCAGGGCTTGGTATCACATTAAGAGCTGGGACTTCTTCAAAATCAAGATCTTCATCAGAATCTGAAATACCATTGATTTCTGGTACTTCTTCATGGTCTAAAATGTCTTCAGCATTTAAGGCTTCATTATTTGGGATTTCATCAAGAGCTGGAACTTCTTCAAAATTGGGATCTTCTTCAGAATCTGGGTTTTCATCATTATCTGAATCATCTATATGGTCCAGGATTGCATCAAGATAGGGGACTTCTGCAAGGTCAAGACTTTGGTAGTTTTCAAAATTTGGTCCTTCTTCAAAGTTGTGGTTTGGGAATTCTCCAGGGTTGGGGACTTGCACATCTGGGGCTCCTTCAGGGCCTGGTACCATATCAAAATATGGTATTTCTTCAAAGTCTGGGATTTCAATCAGTTCTGGAATTTCATCATCAGGATCTAAAATATCCTCAAGGGGAGGAAGATCATCAAAATTCACTGTATCATCATCATCATCCTCATTGTCATTATCATCTTCATCAAGCTCTGGTATGCCTTCAAGAATTGGGCCTTGAATCTCAAGGTCATTTGGGATCTCAAGACCTTGCACCTCTCCAAAGACTATGCCTTCATTGAGATATTCAAATACTAGCTCATCATTAGCTGTCACATCTTCCTCAGAGGACTCATCTTCCTCAAGGGGCTCATCTTCAGCAAGGACCTGGCCTTCGGGAATGGCCTTACCTTCAACAAGGGACTGACCTTCAGCAAGGGCCTGACCTTCAGCAAGGGTCTGATCTCCAGCAGGGAACTGACCTTCATCAAAGGGCTTGCTTTGACCAAGGACAGCAGCCCGGGCTTCAGCAGAGTTTTCCACTGGATCAGAAAGTAAAGCATCCTCTTCCATCTTTATACGTGCACTCCTGAATGACAATGAATTTGAAAAAGCAAATCAGTTTGTATACTTAAACTTATTAACAAAAGATAGTGTAGGATTGAAATCCCCCATAAAAGATCTTGCTTCAGGCTAAGCATAAACAAACCAAGGAAACACTCACTGGATCTTCCTCAAATTCCTGCGTCGGATAAAATCAAGGGCTTCGGGGCTGGATTTCCACACACGCTTAGCAACCTGCCTCTGAATATGAGGAGGCACCTGAAGGTAAAATTAGCAATGTTAGCCTTTATTAAATAACTTTTTAAATTTTTTATTCATTTCTATCAGTTACCTAGGACTGAAGGCACTACAACCAGCTAATGTGGGAAGAATTTCTAGATTAGGAGACTTTGCAGTACCTTTGGCTACCCTCAAGGATATATGTACAACTTCTCCCTGCCTTATGAATAAGAGAGTGAACTGTGAAATAAGTGTGTCCAAAACTTCCACCTACCTGGAAGAGGATATCCCAGTTATCAATCATGGCACGGACCACATTGACAGAAGCAACATAGTGGTCAATCCCCAGTCTTGTTTTCCTGGATTCTTTCTTGGCAAATTTCCCCTTCTTCAGGAGAGCAGATCCAAACACCAAAGCCAAATTGGTGGAAGTCATTCGGTTGCCAGAAACCTAGGTGAAAGAGAGCAGAAAGTGGTTGACTCTAAGGTAGTAATAAAAGTAATACAAATGAAAGTGTATTTTATTCTTATTTCCTTCTTCCTCTGTCTCTGTCTCTTTCATGTACTCTCACACACGTTCCTGGCCATAGCCTTCACTACCCTTTCCCAGAGCTTTTTACCAGCTGTCCATCAATGCCAATGGAGTCTTCGCAGTTCTCAGTAACTTTATGCAGGGCCTTCAGCAGACGCTCCAGGGTGTCACTGTGGCAGGGTGGCATCAGGTAAACCAGCAATTGCAGGGCAGAAAGTTGATCCTGTGGCTTCAGAGCTAGAGGAAGGAAAACAAGGGTCGGCTCGGAGGATAGCCTTGGCAACAACGCCATACCAGAAGAAATGTGATTCTTGTTGAAAATTACTGAAGGCTATGAAGAAAGTCCCCAGTCATCCTTTCTTTGCTCATGTCCATAACATTTGAGCCCAGAAGCCCTAAAAGCAAGAAAGGCCTTTATCAAAATCAAACCCCTTCTGCAGAAAGTAAGTTCTTTTTTTATCCTGAAAGGACACACAGAGCTCAAGAAGCTCTGGAGAAATTTCCAAATGGCAGACTTATAATAAAATATTATGAGATACAAGGAAAGTAGTCTGAAGAGATGTTTTCATCTTTAGATGTTTATTCTGTCTTAATTCCTTGGGGTCTTGCAGCCTGAGTTCTGTCCCTAAACCCCGATACTCCCTGTACTATTTCCTTTCTTTGCCCAGCAAGGAAGAAGGGAGAGCAGAAGACTCACTTGCTGTCAGGAGGAAGGACATGTACAGATCATCTGGCAGCAAAGAGTCCTTCATGTCACGGAAAAACTCCTTGAGGAGTGCAGCAACATCATGCACATTCTGAGTGTCATCCAACACTACATCCAGACCTCGATCAAATTCTTCACGGAGCTATAAAAAGGGAGAGAATACATGGAATGTCTGCCTTGCCCACCACAGGCTCCCTCCTAGTCATTACTTTAATAAATCTCAGGCTTCAGTGGAGGTAGCTGGTAATACCATGAGCCTGCTACAGGAAACTCCCCTCAGGAATATGGGGGAGAGTCCACCCACTTGCTTTTTCTCAAAGAAAAGTGTAAACAAAGCCAGCTTACCTCACGCACCCTTTCCTCAGAGTATTCCAGGGTGAAAATCCCCACTGTGCTTAATCCTGAAAGAAAAGATCAGGTATGCTCAGAATCTCTGGTCCTTTTCTACAAGGGCATTTCCTTTCCCCTCTCATCTGCATTCAGACCCCAACTGATAGCAGGGAAACATTCTCAGCCTTTCATCCTGCAATCTCTTTTCTCTCCCCATTACTAGAATATCATTCTTTCTCTGTAATTGCCTTCTACCTCGATTTCACCATCATTTTCAGCCCCCTTACCATGTTTCTCAATGAAGTTGCAGCAAGCCTCTACAACCTGGGGAATTTGTTTAGCAATCGGATTGAGGCTCATTTTCCTTTTGGATCCCAGAAGTCTTTGGCCAATTGGAAAGGAAATCCTGGAAAGTTGCAGGGTCTGAAGCAGCAGGGCCCCATCCTCCAGTTCAGCCAGGCTATCCACAGATACTGCACCCTGTGGAGAAGAAACCTTCCTGAGGATTGCATCACATTCATAACAAGAGACATTCTTTTTGTGGCAAGCAAAGTACTCTTCTCCAACATGTTCCGCTCACCTCCCCATCCCTCTGAGGACACAGACCTTTACTGTTCTGACCCACATCTCCGAATACCTCAGGAAGGCCCCCTGCCTGAACCCTGGTGGGTTTAACTCACTCTGCGTCCACGGCGAGTGAACTCTCGGGGCAAGGAGGGCTCATCCCGTCTGCGATTGAAAAAGCGCCTGATGCGGCCAAACATCCTTTGCACTACGTTTCCCCGACGACGGCCGGCAGCCTGACCCATAGATTCTTCAATCTGCATCGTGGCTCTTAGTTCAAGATGCTTGCCGCGGGTAAGCTCATTCATCAGCACCTCTTCCAGACGAATGCCAAACGTCTTGAGTGATTGGACCGAGGAGTCTGGGAGAAAAAGAATAAAAAAAGTCAATGCTCTGCCGCGCTTAGATAAGGAGGAACTGCAGGGGCTGTAGCACTCTTCTAAGCAACCTCCCGCAGCCAACCCCCACCCCTCCAGATCCGCAGCCCCTCCCTGGGGAGTGAGTCAAAAAGACCCTGCAGTGGTTTGTCTGAAGGACTCCCGCTTCACTCAGCTATCCCAAGGGAGTTCAAGTTCCCTGCCTTAAGTCTTGCCACGGGGTGACTACCTTGAAGCACCTAGGGCAATTTCTTCTGAGAGATCAGTCTGGGGTGGATCCTAAGCAGGAAGGCTTAGGCAGATTTGATGGGACCGCCCCGAGTGCTAGAGCGCCTGCAGTTAGCATTTCCTGCAATCATCCCCTACAGGGCTTCTGGGAGGGGGAGTGAGTGCCCCCAGGGGAAGTGGGCACCGCTCTGTTTTCAAGGGGCTAGGGACACAATACAGGAGGGGTGCAGCATCCCATTTATTTCCTAAGGAAAGTACAAGGGCTCCTCACCCCTCTGATGTCCTCTAAGGATAAGAAACCACTTCTCCAAGGTGTTTGGACTGTCAATAGGCAGAGCTATGGGAAGTAAAAAGAAAAGACACGCACACTTACACAAGCAGGATTTGATAAGTGACTAAAACATCTCAATGCATTGATCTGCAGGAATTGGGGGTGGGGGAGCAGTAAACAGCTCTGATTAGGCCTCCAAGTGTTTTGCTTTCTCTCAACCTCAGTTTCCCTGTTTAACAACGGGACTAATCCTATTTAACACGTATGAGACTACAAGAATTTAACCAAACTATACAATCTTAGGCTTTGTGTGCCCACACACCAGTAGTAGCTCAACAAAACGCTTAAAACATAAATTCCAGGACTTTGAGCATTGGGACAATGCAACAGGCAAAGGGAAGGGCTCTGTTTGCGACACCTCCGCGACTAGGAGTCGCCAAGTAACTGCCGGCACACTCACACCCAGGATGCTGTTTGCTCCACTAGCTGCAGCGGGAGAAGCAGCAACCCACTCTGTCCCCAAGCTCCGACCCCCACATCAGCCTCTGCCTGAGGGGTCTCCTCTCCCTTTGCTCAGCTACTTTCTGGCTGTGTCCACTGTGCCCGCCTGACGAACTTACTGCCCTTGCACTTTTAAATTACTGCAGGAGCGCCTCTCAGCTCATGTGACCCCCTCTCGCCTCCCTTCAACTGCGAATCTCAACCCATACCCGTGACAATCCTGGCAACTCAAACTCCCTCCAGTGCTAGGTCTCGCTGGCTCTCCTGCAGCCAGCAGAGCAGGGCTGCTACCTCAGTGGACCTCCTACCGTTGCTCTACGCTAGGATTGGCGTGTCTCTCTCACTGTCTCGCTGCCTCTCTTACTCTCTGTCTCTCAACCACACTGTCTCTGTCTATCCCAGTCCTCTCTCAGAGTGTCTTTCTGCGCCTCCTTTAAGCTCTGCCTCCTTTTCGAACCGCACCTGGTACATGTCTCTTCACCTGTCCTCTGTCAACTTGTCTGTCCCTGACATCTGCTTGTTGGGCTTGCTGCCTCGAGCTGCAAGTCTCTGACCCAACTCGACTAATCTTTACCTCTTCTGCAATTCAACAAACACCCTTCAACTCCCACTTCTTCAGTTTTCAGAGCGCCAGGAGAACAGACCAGGTCTGAGACCAGGTTCGCGCCCCTGCTACCCTTCCGGACCTCCAACTGACCCCCATCCCACCCCGGAGAGTCCACTCGCCAGAGAGCGGGTACCCCACGCTCCGGAATACTGCTCACCTCGGTCAGGTTTAAATTCAGGGAGGAAATGTCTGGCCACGAGTTCGTGGTAAGCAGTCTCTTGCAGCTTCAGACGCTCCAGCTCTGAGAGGCTGTGTATTGATACCATTTTCATCCTGCGGTCCGGGTTGTGTCCTGGGGCTCCTCCCAGGACGTTCACTAAAAAAATGAAGGCGGACAACAACAGCAAAGGGGGCATGATTCTGGGGCACCGTGTCCTTGCTGCCTTCAGAAAAGGAATGCAGCCACCCATTCTGGAATCGGATGATTATCAAAGCTGCATCATCCAATTGTCACTGGACCTGGTGTAGGGAACTATGGGGTGGGGGGGAGGTTGGTAGAGGAGGAGGGAAAACTGGGAGGCGGCTTCACCCTCAAGCAGAGCTGCCTCTGGTTGCTTATTAAAAATAAAAAAGATCCAACTTTAAAAAAATCATCCCTGAACCAAGAGTCCAGAAAAAGAAAACCTAATTAGGCAAAAAGAAAAGAAGATTTAAAAAAAGAAAGAAAAGAAAAAGACGAAAAAAAAGAAAATAAAGCCAACCTTATAATTTTAAAATGCACATTGAAAGAATAAGAATAAGGTAATATTTTCCATTAATTAGAACATTGATGAGGTTTATTTTTATTTTTTAATGATAATACTCGATGCTGTCCTGGTTGGGTGAAAATGGCATATCCATCTATGTTAGGAACCCTGTAAATTTGTACAATTATTCCAGAAAGCAAACTGGACACCTGAGTCTTAAGCCAAAAATCATCCCCTGGCCTTTGACCCAAAAATTCCCCTTCTAGGAATCTATCTTAATAGAATCTTCCTATAGACAGGAAAAAAACATATTTACATGAGCCATAACAGTCAAAAATTGAGGGTAAAAAAGTTTACATAGCAATGAGACTAATTCTCTAAATTATGGAATGATCACAGTATGGAAATTAATACAATCATTAAAAGGACGCTTTTGTTTATTTTTCCTTTTTATTGAATATTGGGGTGATATTGGTTAATAAAATCATGTAGGTTTCAGGTATACAGTTTTATAATACATCATCTATATACTGTATTGTGTGTTCAACACCCCAAATTAAGTCTCCTTTCATCTCCATTTATCCCCCCTTTACCTTCTTCTACCTGTTCCCATTTCCTTCCCCCCACCCCCCCCGTAATCACCAAAAATGATGTTTACAAACAGCTCTCAAACCACAAATACTAAATATAGAATTGTATTAATTATGATTACAACTATATGAAGAAAAATATGCATGAAAATAAGACTGACAGAAATGCACTCAAATACTAATAGTATCTGTATTAAATGATAAGATTTTGTTTGCCTTTTGCCTTCTATTTACCACAAATTATGCGACTTGATTATTTTTATGAAAAAATCTATTTTTACCGAAACAAACAAGCATCATTTCCAGAACATTTCTAATGAGATTCCTTACACAAGAATGGTGATCAGAGTGAAGTTTGTCTTGGTGTACTGGCTAGCCTGTCCCTTCTCCATGGTGCCCACTCCCAGGATGCTCAGGATCCCCCAGTGGGGATCTCCCTGGACCCCAAACAGCATCCTTTTGTGCACACCCTCACTTATATTGTTCCTTTGTTATTTCATTTACCCATAAAAAAGAAACCGGCATTAAATGCCCACTTTGTACCAGGCACTAAAGATTCAAATATGAGCAAGATAATACTAGTCCTTTCACAAAGGATTTAACTGTGCATTGAAAAAGATACACAGGTTAGCAACAATTTATAAAACCTTGTGATAAGTCAGTCAGCCAAGATATAAACAAAGTACTGTGAGAGCAGAAAGGAGGAAACATCTAAGTCTGCCTGGAGATAGGGAGGGGGGAGTGTCCAGAAAGAGAGAACAGCTTGTGCAAAGGGAAGGAGACAAGAATGGTGAGAGGTTGTTATATTCTTAAAGCTGTATAAAGGAGATGGAAAGAGATAATTCTGGATAGGCAGAGGTGAGATCATGAATGTCCCTGTTAGCTATGTTAAAGAGCTAGACTTTCTCCTGAAGGTAATAGGGGACTACTGCAGGGTTGTAAATAGGGAGTGACAGAGTCAGAGCTTCAGCTTGGAAAAATCACATAGAGTAGTGAAAAGCCTGGTTTGGGTACAGAGCCTGAAATAGGTAGATCAGCCAAGGGGCAAGAGATACTAACACAAATTAGTGTCACTAGAGCTGGAGCAGGGGATGGATTTTATGTGTAGAATTGACAGGACTTATGGGAATTTTTTATTGTAATGGAAAAGAAAGGATTTAAGATAGCTCTGAGGTTTATGATTTGGGTGCATGTGTGTATGCTAGCTCCTGACAGAGAAAATAATTTGGAACATGGGAAACTAAACCTTTGACAAGAAGGGAAGTTGTCACAAGCCACTTTTCTGAGCTTCTTTTTAAAGATAATATTCTATATATTATTGGGGTAGGGCTTGAATTTCAAAGATCAGATAATCTTGTTTTGCCAGGGAAAAGGTAGGTAGGAGTTTATCAATCAATAATTTATATAAATGACTTTTATCCAAAAAAAAATCTGACCCTATTTTTGTTTCCAAAATTCTCTTTTGCCCACTTTCCTTAATGATTAAAGTCACAGATGTCAGAAGTAAATGCTGACCAGATAAGTAAAGTGAAGTATGAGAAAGGATGAGAAGTCTTTCTATACATTTTGAACTGAGTTAAGAGGAAAACTGTTACCATGTTTTTTTAAAGGTTCTTCAATCAGCCCGAGATGAATGCCGAAGCCCAACCAACAAACTGCATCCACAAAATGACCATTTCAACCAAAGGTACATGCACATAACCTAACCTTAGTCCCAGAGTAAGCCTCTAGCAATCCCCCATTCACAATTGCAGGTCCAATACCTGTTAGCTGGGAGGTATCATCCTGACACACACAACCTAGCTCTGGCTTCATTTTTCTAACGTAGCTCCCCCTCCCCTTGTCCCAATTCAGACATTGTTGTACCTGTTTTGGAGCTGTAGCTATTTCTTCTTGCTGAGGCTTACCACATCTGATTATCCAAAGAGTATAGCTGGTTCTTTCTCCCAGAAATCAAGATGAAAATCAATCCCTCTCCCCCAACCCAAATAAGGTAAGAACAACCTCAAAACAACACCAGGAAAAAGAGAGAGGGAAAAAAAAAGCCTTTGAGAGATGAGTCAGCCTAAATGCTTACAATTCCCAAAGAAATCAAAGGCCTTAGAATAAATCGTTTGTCATTGCCTCCTGCTCAAAGATACAGGGCTAAACTTAACAGCAATCATATGCTGCTGTTCTGCCAGCAAAATTGACACTGTCTTGCTTACCTTCAACCCTCTCAAGGCACCAAAAGAATACACTACAGAAACAAAGTTAGGAAGGCCAATATGCCCAGAAAAAAAAGCAGATGGGTAGAGTTGGGAGGGGGAACCAGTAACCAGACTTCAACACTATGAAAAAGGCATATAACAGATTCTTGAGATCCGAACATTTGCCCTCAAGTCTGACTTTCCAAGCTGAACACAAAAGAAGGTTCCTTGTAGGAAACAGGGTGTGAAGGGACCTTTCTTCCTCCAAAGTGTCTTCTCCTTCCCCCTGTAACATGGCATTGGCCTGAAGTGACCATGACATCAAAAATATACTCAAGATGAAAGGTGACAGCAAGCCCTCTTTTGCATAAACAATATCCTTAGTCAAATATCTGTAGTGGCCACTGAGTTGGAGCTAAATAGAACTGAGTTCAAAGCCAAGCTTTATTGATTTCCTAGCTGTGTGATTTTAAGATAGTTGAGATCTCTGAGCCTCAGTAGCTTCCTCTATAATATAGGGAAATGATGCAGTACCCATTGCATCAGTTGTGTGAGAATCAAATGAATAATAATGAATGATGCTAAATGTATGCTATTTAGCATCAGTTTTTAATAAACACATTGATATTGAAAGTATTTTGCAGAGGGCCTGACTTTACAGGAAAATATCAGGTTTCAAAAGTAATCACATAAAATTAGAGTTTCTATAAATGCATCTAAGGACTTACTCTGTTCTATGTCTGCTAAATTTGAATTAAATTAAAACAGGTAAAGAGATCTTGAGAGTTTGTTGGGAATAGAAAATCTTCCTTCTTCAATCTCTAATGGCATCAGGGCCATCACCTAGACCAAAGCTTCCATTCTACAGTTCAGAAAACTGAAGCTCAGACAGGAATAGGGGTTTGCCCAAGGCCACGCAGCAGTTTAAAAGCAGAGTCTAGACAAGAATCTAGTTCTCCTCAATCCTAGGGCTCTTTCCTCTGTCCCATCCACCTTTTATCTTACAAACTGAAAAATATTGCATAGATAAATTATTTAAGTCAAAAGAATGGACACATAATCAAAGTCTGATTCCATAATCCAGGGATGTCATATCCAAAGGCAGACAGCCACCACAAATTACAATCTCTTTATAAAATAATTACAGTCATCATTCTATAGAACATGGGATGCCCTTTTTAAATTTTATTGACTAAAGAAACAAATCAAGCTCAGGATAATGAAAGTCAATCTTTGTGCTATAAACATCCCAAGGGATTGTATACCAGGGGTGCCAACTTTTTGGCATCTCTGGGCCACACTGGAAGGAGAAGAGTTGTCTTTGGCCACACATTAAATAAATACATTGCAACACATAATCACACAAAAAAAATCTCATGATATTTAAAGTAAATTTACAATTTTGTGTTAGGCTGCATTCATAGCCATCCTGGGCTGCATGTGCCACATGGACCACAGGTTGGACAACCCTGGAAACAAAGTAACATAACATCAACTACCACAAGATATAGATATTCTCACACTATTTTCTGCCGTATGTGTCAGAGTGCATAATAGTACTGGCATCACAGGCTGTGTCACTGCTTAATTTTTTTTCCCCTTTGGCTGCTGCTTCTATTATGTTGTGGCAGAAAAAGTAAAAAGTAAGATGTTCCATTAATAAGAGGTAAACTATTTTTAAATGCCCCATTTGCCTTGTGCTTTTCCTTTTCTTAAAAACTTTCCACATGGCCATTATTTTCAGACCTTAGCACACAGTAGGTGTTCAATAATTGTTTGTTGGGAGAATCATAGGATTTTAAACTCTGAGGGTTTTAACAGATTATAAAAGTCAACTAAAATAGCTATTCATAATTCATGAATTAATGAATCATGCCACTTTATTCTCACAACAACTGCTGAGAAGGAGGTAGGTTGGGTGATATGTTTCCCAACTTTACAGATA